TAGGCGCAAAATGCAGAAGAAAAGTTATTTTGTCCGAAAAAGCACAACGCTCAAGAGAAGGTAAGCGCATATATATGATACCGTAACATAACTACAACATCCTTGAGTGCCTTTCTCGGACAAATTTACGGACAAAACCTCTAAACTCGTTTGAAATCAGTAGTTTTGGTACCAGAGACGGAACAGCCAACGGCTGAAAGTCTGTATAATAAAGAAATCATCAATCATTCGTTTTGATGTAGAAAACTATATTTTGATATAGATCAGCTATATCTTTTGAGGAAACACGCTATTAAAATAAAATCTTGAACAAAGCTTTCAAGGTAAGGTATATAGGAGTTATTTTTTGATGCCATTAGAACTGACCTTGATTACTAACTTTTGATCTGGATCAGTTCTACACACTTAGTTTTTTTTTCTACCGAGCTCGACTGTGCAAATCTCGGCAAAAAAAGTTTCACTGAGATCTCAGCAAACATTTCATTTGTTTGCTGAGATTCAGCTAAGCATTATCCAAAACTCAGCAATCAAATGTCACTTTCGCTGAGATCTCAGTGAAACTTTTTTTGCCGAGATTTGCACAGCCGAGCTCGGTAGAAAAAACTAAGTGTGTAAATTTTGGTAGAAGCATCTTATCGAAGCAAAACGTTGAGGAAAGTGAATTTGGATAAAACTATATTTTGGCATCACTGGTTTTGATATACACGGCTATTGCCCCACCTTTTATTAATAAGATTTTTATTTCCACGTTTACAGAATTATGATATAAAATAACTTTCTTGATAACTTGATTTGAAGGTAAAATAATATCATTTCATAATATAAGGGCACTGGGAACCTTTTATTGCGTCAATTCCTTTGCGATTGTGCCTGAAAATTGCACCACAAAGGTGCATGAAGGGACAAACTTACATGAAATTTTTTGGTCAAAAAATTGCACCACAGTGGTGCATACAAAAAATTTCTGGTGTAATTTTTTTTTTCAATCAAGGTGGTTCATGCAGGGTTAAAAGAAGAGGGTAAATTTAAGGTTGAAAAAACTTACCTTCATGGTGGTAAATCGAAGAAAAAGCTTTCTATTGAATATTTCTGGTATAAAAATACATCACGGTGGTGCATGGAGGGACTAATAAAAATGAATAACTCTGGTGGAAAAATTGAATCACGCTAAAAATTTGGAGGTTCACATTTAACTGCAAATTTCTGGTGGAAAGTTCGCAGCACTGTGATGAATGTAGAATCAAGGTTTATTCATTTTTCTGGTGCATAATTTGCACCGTTCTGATGAATGCCAGCTTCATTGAAAATTTATAGTGGAAAATTTGCACTATTTTGGTGCATGAAGAGGCAAAGCCTGAAAATTGCACCACTAAGGTGCATGGTGAAACAAACTTCACTGACAAGTTTTGGTGCACCGTTCTGGTGAATCGAGGAGCATGATTTATTAAAAATTTCTGGTGCAAAATTTGCATCGCTCTGATAAATGGAATGAACAAAATATTTCTGGTGGAAAACTTGCACTGGTATGGTAAATGAAGACACAAGCTTTATTTAAAATTAAGCTACATTGAAAATTTCTGGCGGAAAATCTGTACCATTCTGGTGAAAGGATGGGCAATAGAGTGATGCAAAATTTGAAATTTTCGCTCCACAATACTTAAACGATTCCAAATCTGATCTTGACTAACCTCTCAAAATTTGAACCCATTTGGTGAGAAACTGAGATGGCACAAACCATTTGAAGTTTGTATGGGAATTACTATGGTAAAACCAAGATTTTTGTTCATGTCTATCTAATAATTCACCATATCGGTTTGCTTCAAAGACTTTCAACTGTACTTGTAGGAAATTTTCCCAGCTACAACTTTGCTCAAGATCATTTTTTGATTAAATGTAAGGATCGAAAGTTATCAATTGTTCAATGCGCTGATGTCTTATGATCATGCTCAATCAACTGATCAGCAGGCAACATTGGTGTTCCTGGGGCGTTGAATAGGACACAAAAATCATGGCTACTATGTCACACTGCAAAATACAGTGTTGCCTTCAGAGCAGCTGCTTGATCAGGTCATAAGTTTACCAATCTCTTAAATAATTAATAACTTTTTTCTGTCTCGTTTTACATAGATGCGATTTTCAGCAAAGTTGTAGCTAAGAAAATTTTCTGTAAGAATTGCTATCGAACTGTTTCGCAGCTCAATATGGAAAAAGACTAGAAGGCAATGAACAAAAAGTTGAGATTTCCCATAGTGATTTACATGTAAACTTCAAATGGCTTGTGCGAAGTCTGTTTCTAACCAAATGAGTTGTAACTTTTGGAGGCTAATCAGGACCCGATTTGAAACCATTTAAGCACTGTGGAGCGAAAAAGTCAAATTTTGCATCAGTCTAATGGGCAAGCTTTTCGGAAAATTTTTGGTCTTAATTTTGCATCCTTTAGCTGAATAGAGAAATAAATTTTAATAATAATTCCTGGTGTAAAATTTGCACCATTCTGATGATTGGAGAGAAGCTGCTTTACTGTAGATTTATGATGAAAAATCTGAAATAGGGGCAATCTTTATTTAGTGGAAAACATGCAACATTCTGATGATAGGGGAAGAAAACTATATTGAAAATGTCTGGTGGAAAATGGAAAAAGGAAATCTGCACCAATTAGAAGATTGAAGGAGCAATTTTTCATCGAACATTAACGGTGGAAAATTTGCGTCTTTCTGATCAATTGAAATTTCCTGGTTTATAATTACCTGTGGACAAGTTATTATTGAAAATTTCTGGTGTAAGATTTGCAACAATTTGCTGCATGGAGGGGCAAGCTGAATTGAAAATTCCTTATGTAAAAAGTGCACAGTTCTGGTGAATGGAGTAGCTAGCTTTATTGAACATTTCTGAGAAGAACCTCAAGGGTATTGAATTCTGAGGACAGTTTCAAAAGAAAAGATGTCTGGGGATGATTTTATGAAAATTCTGCGAATAATTTCTAGTGAATCCTGCAGATAGTTCCATGATAATTTTGAATCAAATTTTGAATGAAATTACAAAGAGTTGTTGAGGAAAAGTTCAAGGAAATTCCGAGGGTAATTTCAAGCTCAATCTGGAAAGAATTTGTGGAGAAAACAGAGGAAATTCTTCTGAAGCATTAGGGGAATTTCAGTTCCAAAGTGTTGTGAAAAAAAAAAGTTCAAAAATATTCCGAAAAGAACCTCAAGGATATTGAATTTTTAGGACAGTTCCAAAATATTTTTGGGGAGAATTCAAATAAAATTCTTCGGATAATTTCTAGATCATCCTGCAGATAGTTCCAAGATAATTTTGAAAAGAATACCGCGAAAATCAATGTTTGAGTGAAATTCCAACAGGATTTTAAGCAAAATTTCAAGCGAATTCCTAGGATAATGTCTAGCTCATAATGTCTAGCACTCTAAAAGAATTTCAGTTCCAATGTGTTCTGAGAAAAAATCATGAAGAGTTCTAAGTTTAATTTCAGTGGACCTCAGAGAAGAATTTCAATAAACCTTTTAGGAGAGTTCTAAAAAAAATCCGAGAAGAACCTCAAGGATATTGAATTCTGAGGACAGTTCCAAAGAATTTCTGGGGAGTATTCCAAAAAATTCTGTGAATAATTTCTAGTGAATCCTGCAGATAGTTCCAAGATAATTCCAAAAAGAATACCGAGAAAATTAAATTTTGAGTCAAATTCAAAGGGATTTTGAGGAAAATTTCAAGGGAGTAACAATAATTTCTAGCTCATTCCGGGAATAATTTCTGGATAATACTGAGGAAATTCTCCTGCAACTCTTAGAGAATTTTAGCTCCAAGGTGTTGTGAGTAAAAGCTCTAAAAATAATTTCAGATTGAGAAGTATTTCAAAAGAGCTCATAAAGTTCTAAATGTTTCGAAAATAACTTCAAGGAATTCTGAAGATGGACTTTTTCCCAGCTGTACAAAGTTTAAAGTCAGTTTTTAGATTCTCTAATTGAAAAGTGGGTATTAGTTTGCCATTTAACCTCGGTCTATTGTTGTCTTACTAAGAATTTGTCTGAGAATCTTCTTAGAAAATTTCAAGTCATTTGTTACCGTGATTTAAAAGTTACAGCTATTTCTGTGCGTTGCAATAAGTTCAGGATTGTCCTTTATGTTATCTTTAAAACATGTTGTATGTTCGGCATTATTTCCTGTCACTGGCGGTACTTTGTGGCAGGGTTGACATGCTCAATCCTTCGCTCAAGTCGTCATTCCGTTAACAATCCTGTACTCGCTTGTCAAAATAGTTTTGTGCGCTTTTGTGCCAATCGTTACTTATTTTTTAAACCTTTTTAATGGTCCTATTAGCTTTGACATTTAGGTCAAAATTTGAAAAAAAAAATAGAATTACAATTTTTGCTGAAAATGACCAAGTTCAACGGACTCGCAACGGTAATAGTAAAGTGTGACTACAACAGCATATAATACCTCGTACAGACTATGGCTTGTATCATGTAATAAAGGCTGTCTTGCAATGAGCACTCACATATAGAAGTACTCCCCATCCCCAGATTAAATGCACCATAGAAGAAAAAATTGCCCCTCCTTAACCAGATTCCTGTGCACGCTAGTGATCATACTGTACAATTTCCTACAATTTTCTCTTCAACAGTAACAACGCAACATGTATATGTCTTGAACGAATACTCGACTATTAATTAAATGGAAATCATAATTCTTTTTCAGGCACAGCTATAAAGAAAGACCTTGCTGGAGGCGGATGGATTCCGTTCGCGGACCGGTCTTGGAAATTTTCGTGTTGTAAAATTTCTCGACAGCCCTGGGCATGGAGTATGATTGTTCTTACCACACAATATACACTAATGTAAAAATGCTCTCAATTAACTACTGTGGAAATGCTCAAAGTACATTAAGTTGAGAGCCAGTGAAAAGTCCCAGTGGGGACGTAATAAATCCAAACAAGACAAACATGCTTTTACAGAGTTATGGGCTTCGGATTCATAAATGTTGAAGTATTATATAAAAATTACTTTATTATTACAATCTATAGTTAAAACAATTAGTTAGCAAATGCTATTACGATACAAACATACAATTAAAGTCTTATTAATCGTAAACATCGGATAAAATCTTACTGTTGACATATACTAACCATCTAATCACAATTTCAAGCTCGGAGTCTTGTATTAAGCTGGATTCTGTTTAATTTAAAACATCCTATCTATCTAATTTCTTAAACATCTACTAAAACGTATAGAAGCTTCTATTCAGTTGTGTAATATTTAATATTTTCCACACTATCATAGCTGCAAAGATTTGCGGACGCCGGCCCACATCAAACAATACTGTTCATATTTTGTTTTACAATTCCTATCAATTGTCACAACCTTCCGTCACTTTTACTTCCTGCTGCCTACAATATATGTTCATTTATAGTGAGCGGTGACAATAAGCTCCATGGCATGATCACGCTTTTTAGCACTACCCTAGAGATGGTCATGATCATGTTCGTGGTCGTGACCCTGGTCCTGGTTATCCTCTGTCACACCATGGCTGTGACTGTGGCTATGTCCAGCTGAAAAAAAACAGAAGGAGAAAAATAGGCTTAGAATGCTTAGTTGAATTGGAGTTTCTCACGCTTATAGTTAAAAAAAACATCGATTATGTGATATGATATGTAGATATCATTCATAACGAACATGAATTTCAGGTTTGTAGAAGATACAACATACATATCTATTATTACTGACACATATCATATTTTATTTCAAACGGACAAAAGTCTACAACTTGCTACGAAATTACGACCATCTGATGGCCTTGTGGCTTAAGTAAAGTGAAAAATGCATCAAAAATATAATCAACGACCCTCGCAAAGGTTATGCTTTTATTTCCAACTCCCTTTACTAACAAGCAAATTATCAAATTAAAAGCTATAAAATCACTGAAAGCTAAATAAGGCACATTCTACGGTTTTTACCAGATTTTTGTACTGTAGCTGAAAAAAATATTAAAAGTAACCCTCAAATGTTACTGCAGATTGTGAAATATTTCCTATAAGAATTGACCAAACTTTATGATTTGAATAGCTCAAAATGATTTGGTAAGTTATTTACGGTACAACAGGCAACGTTGCAACGTTACGTAGAATGTATCATATTAAGTATTTCGGACAGTTCTCTCACATTTAAAATCCAAAGCACAGAGAAGAAGAAAAAACAGTAAAGAACTGTGGTAGAAGGCTACGCATACCACAGCGTGCGATGATAAATATTTAGTGGTTGCTGTGACAACATGCCTCGTCGTCGTAAAACATATGCACTGCCAGAATCATGATTGTTTTTACCGCCATCTGCAAGCGATAGAAGTGAATGGTGATAATAATGTTTATCCTAATACAAATGTTGGAAAATATTATTCTACAAAAAGAATGTATTAAATAGTTGTAAAATTACGTGCAGCATATAAAACTTTGTAACAGAAAATGAACACTGGTTTATTACAACAATTTAAAACGAATTATATGTTACATTGCTGTTGGGCCTCCCTTAGCTTTATCGGCAATGTAATTTTTCGGGATAGAAATTTTCTCCACTTTTCTGGGCATAGAGAATGACTGTACTTGCCCACAATGTATACCAATGCAAAATTGGTACAGGCTTAGAAAGTTCTTAGAGATTTCCGTTGGATAATTTTGTACTCATTTTTGACACTGGTGCGAAAAGCGTGCCTATTTTATTAAATGTTTCACAAACGTCTGTTTTAATTAAATTAATGCTTTCTAATTCAATAATAAATCGAAATTTGAGCTTAGCTTGTCATCTTTACGCACATCTTATTTGTGTGCACTCAACTGATTTCTTTGTTCAAGTGTTGGAAGGAGGTTGTTTTTTAGTGGTAGAAATTAGGATAAAATTGTACAAATCGGATGTAATTCATATATTCGGTAGTATTATTGTACTAAAGCATACTAATCAAAGATTAAAATCAGGTTCTATCAACATTTTTCAAAATCGAATTCAGCACCTAGCACCTCAATTTACACCAAATTGAGGAATTAGAATGAAATCACACAGTTATTTTATGATTTTCTTTTTGCTCAAATGTTGTTCTACCGTTTGTGTTGTGTAAGAGAGATGAGAGTACGGATACAAACGCACGACAAAGGAACCGAGTGAAGTAAAAACGTCAACAGTTTCGACTAATGTCGTTTTCGTTTTTGCGATGTAGCTACACCGGTGTCACACCGTCGAACACCGAAAAATTTTGCACCTTTGTTTACTAACAAATGATGATGAGCTGCCAATGACTCGCGCTTATTGCTGCTTACACTACACCAGTGTAGTGCAGTAAAAACGAAAACGACATAAAGCCCTGCAGTAAAAGTATGAACGTCTGTCAAAAGTTGTTTCAATCGAACCGTCAAAATGCACCGCTTTGCTCGATTGGAACAGCATTTTTTCAGTTTTGTGGTGACAGTCGTCCATACTTTAACTGAAGGGCTTACACCATGGGAAGACCCAACACATTATGCATGCTGAAGAGAATCAGCAATCCACCCGTCTAGAAAGAAAGCATCGATGCAGTGTTCCGGAAAATGGGATTCAAGCATTCGTCAGTGGATTCATGTTTATATATATACGGAAGAAAGGCGACATGTACACTTTTGTGCTTATATAAGACGTGGATGACATGCTTATTGTCTGTCAAACTGAGAGTTCAATGCAATTCTCGATGAACATTTCAAATGGTCCTATCTGCTTTCATCGACTTTCTCTTTTCATATCCACTGCTATGCAAACAGATTTTGCGCTAATTCTACCACATAGTTTGATAAAGGAGGTTCTTATCTAGCGTCCAAAACGTTAAATACAACAGGGAGAGGTTTTGCAGCTGAGTTATTGACGAAAGAGAAAGTCGATGAAGAGAACCGATCAATGCAGATAGAACCTTTTTAAATGTTTATCTAGAATTCACAAGGCACTGTAACAATCCTTCAATGTGACAGCATTTGGTGACGTAAAGCATTTCCTAGGAACTGAAATCGAGATTGGGTCTGGAGAAGTACACTGTGCAGTTTCCGGACGAACCCACTTTCATCTTGCCGGCGGGAAATACCTCTACACTGCATGATGTATGAAATAATGATGTAATAGTAAAAAGCAGATACAATATTAAATCAATGGATGTAATTTTGTTCGCAAAACCAATGTACATCGTACAATGTGATATTACACAACCGATGGATTGACCTGGTTGCAGCAATTTCGATGTAATATTCAACAACTTTTTTTGCTGTGTACCCTGGACTTTTTCCTGTCGAACATCGGACTATCCAAGCCGGAAGTGCACAACGATCTCGGCATCAACGTGGCTCCTGCTTCAAGCCTGCGCAAAGACTACCACCACGTCAACTGGGTGCAGTTTGGACGTGTGGTTGACAGAGGCATCGACGAAGATCCACCGCTTGACACAGTAGATGACATCGACCGGACGTTGGAAGGACTCCAACAGGCCATATCCGTGACTGACGAGGCATGTGTTCGACAAGTTCCTGTGGGGTAAGTTTGTTGCCATTGATTCCCACACCCAATTACTGATTCGCTCGAGAAATGTTCGTAGACGTCAGTTTCAGAGGACTGGAGATCTGGACAAAAAAAAAACGTGAAATGGCCGATCTGAACAGGCAGATTGCTTCCAGAATGGACTCACTCCGAAATGAAAGTTTCGGGTATGTTGTCCAGAATCTGAACAACCACTCCAGACCATTCTCGAAGGTATCCAAGGTCCTGAAAACTCATCCCAAACCTGTTCCACCTCTCAAAGACGAAAATGATGATGATCGGCTCTTAATCACCCCACAGGAGCAAGCAAATGCAATCGGCGAGCATGCCGCTTCATCGCATTTGCTTGGCTCGACTATCCAAAGTCCGCTCGAAGATCAAGTTGCACAATGCATTCAAAACCTAGATGCCTCCCTTTGTGTCGTGCCTCCGGCGGATATGATTACAGTACAACAAATTTGCTCAGCGCTGAAATGCACCAAGAACATGAAGGCCCCCGGGTTTTATCAACTTGATCTTGAGAAGACTTAGCATGAAAGTGCAGTCTCTTCTAACCTAAGTTCTCTTGCAGATAGAACAGATGCTTGGAGCTGCACTACTTTCCAAGCATCTGGAAGGTAGCAAAAATCACACCAATCCGCAAGCCCGGTAAAGATTCAACATTGCCCTCAAGCTATAGACCAATCAACCTCCGTTGAGCGCTGAGTAAATTGTTCGAGAAACTCATTCTCAATCGTTTGCTCAAGATTGTCAAGGAAAACAACATTATCCTACCGGAACAGTTCGGGTTCTGGAAGGGGCACATCAATGCCTCCAAAACACAAACAATCATGTTCCTGCATCGGCAATCGCCCAAACTAAAATCGGCTCCCTCTTGTACTGTTCGATGAAAAGCTCCTTTTTCGTTTTCATGTAAAGAAAACTGTAGTCAAGTGTTCTGCCTTGGTTAGATCTCTGTATCCGCTGATTTTCCGCAGATCCCGCCTCTCAAGGGTGGATAAACTGGCAGTCTACAAATAAATCATAGCACATGCGATTCTCTACGCAGCTCAGGTATGGGAATCATGTGCACAGACTCACAGGAACAAAATCCAGGTCGCTCAAAATAGAGTGCTGAGGATAGTACTTGATCGTCCTTTCGACACTAGAATAACACAAAGAGGCAAGCATTCCCAGGCAAGATTCCAGAATTAACGAAATTAAGACTTAATTTGCACAAAAATGTAATATATCAGAACATGCTTTGATAAGCAATTTGTATATAGTAGATTAGATTTAGGTATATTGTAGTTGTAAGTTAGTTATAGTTGTAAATATTAGTTATAAGTAGTCTCCTTTTTTCCAATTTAAAACGAACCAATTCCACCAAGATGGTCATTCTCCAAAACAGGCCTGATAGGACTAGGAACTGTAATGAATAAAAATTTAAATTTCAAAAGAACTAAAGTTGATAAGACGCATCGGTGTCACTTAAAAATTCATACATGTAAAACCACGCAAATTCAAGACATAAAGATCAATTAAAGTAAAAAACAAAAAGTCTGCTGTACGTTGCAGTTCAAACCTGGCCTGACGTAGCAGTAAGTGTATCAATCCTGGCTCAGAAATCTAATTGCCCGACGTAGCTAGACTTGCAAGGACGCCAAGATAGTTTTGAGATCTACTTGCGAACATAAATTGCTACTACGATACACGACTGTGGCATTGGAGATGTACGCAGATCTGAACTAGGCAGGCAAACACCGTGATTGCCAAGTCCAATCCCGGTTTCTTGATTCGACTCGGACTCGTCAGTTCGGCATTTTCGTCAACAAAACCTGAGTTCGTGGCATTGACTAAAGCGTGTCAGGAATTGAGTTTTTTGAGGAAGTTGCTGATCGATATGGGAAAAGATTTTTCGATGCCAGTGCCTTCGCTCGAAGACAACCAGAGCTACATTCGAAACCAAATACTTCTACGTTCGTGATCTTCAAAATCAACAGCAAATCATTCTGGAGTATTGTCCTACCGA